CAGTATCAAAATCGACATGTAGAGTTGGCAGCCGTCACTCACAGAGTTATGAAGGATGTCTGAGATTTGGAGACGTGTATGATCGTTGCAGGCAAGAGGTACTCGTAGCATGTGTATCCCACATCCGAAGCTGGTGAGAGCAGTTCTGCTTCGTGAGTGCGATGAGTGTGTGAGCACATCACTTCAAACGCATGCTCACACGCGCGAGCCTGCAACAAAATCTTTGAGGTGGGAGTCCAAGCACAGCCTCACATCTCAAACCAATAAAGGCCGCCTTCTGGGACTGCCCGAGTCTATCATCTGGGCATATGTGAGCCGAGTCCTCTCTCTCCCTCTCTCTTTATTTTCTCCACGGGTCCTTGACTATCACAACGTCAGGGTAAATGAAGTCTGAAGCACGCACCTTCAACTCTATTCGCTAGCCAGCTCCTCGCAAGCGAAGTTGATGATCAGACGACTTCGAAGGGGACCAGACGATATCCCAGCGTGCCGTCGCCCATATCCATCAGCTTGTTCAGTTTGAAGGCTGTGAACTTATGATTCGAATCCTGTCTGCCAAGGCAGGCGAGACATCGCCTTCAACGAGAAGAGCTTCCAAAGGGCTACCTGGATGCCCGGCGCTAAGCATGGTCGTGGGTGTAGGAGTCGTGTACCCTTGCACCTGCTTTAGCGTGCGGGCGCCTCCCCCAGCCCCCGAAATCCCCCGAACAGTCGAAGCTGGGTTGTCCTAAAGAGTATTATTATGACAGGGGTGAGTTTATATGATGTAAGACGGGATTAGAGAAGGCGAGGGGCTGAAGTCTTCAAGACCCCCCCTATGCCTTGGGAGGGATTGCGGTCCCTCCCCATGATTCGAAAGCTTTGGGCCTTTCAGCTCAGAGGCCAGGGCATCAAAATCCAGAGCCCCGGGTACGGGGCCAGGACCGTAAAGAGGGTCCCGAAACAGTGCTCCTTGTGGGAGGTCAGGCTGGCTCCTGGACTGCCGGATTGAGCGAGAATTTTGTTCGTATGTTTTTCTGTTCAAGGGAATTCTTGGTTTCGGCTGAGTTGGGACTCCGGGTTTTCGGGGTCGTGGAATGGGAGCTTACGATTCAAAGGCCCGGCCACAAAGCCAAGAGACCAGGGCAGCGGTTTAGAGCAGGCTTCAAAACGAATCCCAAATCCTGAGAAAAAATCCGGATCCCGGGAACAACTTGACATAATTGAGGAGCCCACTCTGGACCGCCAAGCAATCACGCGGATGTCGAGACATGTTGAGCAGAGGCCCCTCAATGAAGAACATTTGCAAGACATGGAGCATCGTCGTGAAGCTTGCTCCTGCCATCCTTTTAACAGCAGCCGTTTCTGCTGACTTGTAGCCCATGAACTCCTACAGCTGCCTGGTGGCTAGAGCTTCGGCTTGGGTTTTTGTCTGCTCGGTGTGACATGTGCGATACCGCTGCCGAGGCAGCAACTGCCCTACGCAATGCCTGAAGCTTGGCAGTTGGGTTCACATAGGTCCAGCCGGCACTGCGGCATAGCGGGGAATCTCAGCCCTCACACGTCGCGGATCGGCCCGCAGAGAGAGCTTCGAGCGTTGGGCATCTGGACGGGCATCCCAAAGGCATGCATGGCAGAATCGTTAGGCCCTTAGGCTTCATGTAGATTGCAGAACCTGTGCAAGTAGGCTACATTTGCAAGACTGACTTGAGCAAAGTCCTGAAGGATGTAAGATTTTGATGAACACCTCGCGGAGTTGGCAACAACTCAGTGTATGAAATTTACAGGCAGTTGGCCTGTCGATCGGAAATGTTGTCCGACCGTTTCTTGTTGGACATCATGATACATCATTAGACCTCGAATGCCTCTGGACTACGAGGTTGTTATGCGTACTAGGCATGTACCGCTAGCCGCTAGCATGTAAATCCGTTGAAGCGGGGACCGATCAATGTTGGACTCATGTGACTGCACGTTTTCGTCCCTTGACCGTCGGCAGCTCCTCCAACCTCAAAGACTCATCAGCGCACCATCGCAAGAATTCAGCGCGGGATTGCATCGGCAAGTCGCCTGGTCCAACTCGCCTTGCCAGCAAGGTCTTCCAGGAGCATGTCGAGCAAGGCCACGAGAGTCGCAGCTTTGGAAAGGCGGCGGCATTGTGCTCCCTGACAGTTTTTTTTTGTGATCTTTGTGTTAGCAGACGCCAAATCAATCGGTCCATGCCAGCCCTCAACATGCCTTAGCGACGCTCATGCACAAACGCATAGTTGCCAACTCATGCAGCTTCAAGGTCCGGCACTGCCCCGAAATGCACAAACATGTTAGTTCAGGGGCGTGTAGGTGTAAGTGTCAAGCGAACGGGGACGGAGTTTCAACAGCGCAGTCTCCGCTACAAACGGTGCTGTGCCTGCTACGCTTTAGGCTGGTCTTCTTAGCGGCTTTGACCCCGGTACTAGCATGCCCAGTCTCAAGTATGGGGAGCCTTTCAAAGTAGTGAGTAGTGCACAGATTGCAAAGTTCTTCATCAATGTCTGTTGAGTCCCGCTCCGACCCTCCCGCCTCTTCCCAACAAATCTCCAGGAGGGGTGGAGGCTTCAAAAGTTGGGGATGAACACCTCCCCCTACCCATCTCTTTCTTCCGTAGAATGTTTCGAGCGGCGTGCCACTGTTGTGTTTCTCCGATGTTTGGGGAGTGGATGAGAAAAAGTCAACATTCTGAAGCACAGTGTCTGATCGCACCAGAGAGCCTTAGTGGCTGAGTAGATGGGCTTTTCAGATCCCACCAGAATTGAAAGGTTAACCTGTCTTTGGGCCAGGGTACTCAGCAACCAAGGAGCACCATTGCGCACCACGTGTAATGTGCAAGTGGTGCGCTCCAAAGACTGGTTTCTAAGACTTGTTGCAGCATTGGAAAGACAAGAATGTGCCTTCACTCCTTGACTCCTTGACTCGATGCTTACATTCACTTTGCCAGGCCATGTTGGACCGCTGTACAGCTTGGCGAGCAGCCTTCAAGGTCAGGGCACTCATGTCATTTCACTTGTCTTCAATCCTCTGTGCTTGCTTGTGACTTGTGGCGTTTGCACGCTGCAACTTGTGATTAACGTGTGATGTGTGAGAGATGCTTAGATAAGACCTTTTGCGGCGAGAACTCAAGTCCAGAGCTGCTTCGGTCGTTTCTTTCCCCTTTCTTTCCCCTTTCTTTCCCCTTTCTTTCCCCTTTCCCCTACGCTCAGGAGGATGCGTCCAGCCGCGCCTCCAGAACAATTCGTGCAGGATGTGCGGTGTGCTTTGCATAAGTTGGGTTTCGACAGCTGCATCATGGCATGTCATGGCCGAAGACGAGTTGCACCTCAGTGTTCTCAGTCAAACATGAAGACTGCATTGAACGTGCGGGTAGTTGGCAAAGCAAACGTAGCTGTCGATGCTGCGCACGTCAAACCCCACATCGGCAAATGGTGGCAGGTTCAAGGCGTCCAAAGCATTCTTCAGTCAATGCGTCATGCAGCCCAAGGCAGAGACGCCGAGCTCGCCAAACTGGTCCAAGAGTGCGGTCTTCAGGCAAGGCCATCCGTCGTCACACGAGCAGTGTAGAAAGACTAGCTATGGGGTCTGCCAAACAGAAATGCTCATGCAGTGCATGTTCAGGACTGGCGTCAGGGGCAGTAAGAAGAAATCTCTTTGTGTAGCCGGTTGTGGACGTGAGGGCACAAATGGTGAAACAACTGCGTTGAACAGTTACTTGTCACGCAGCGGCAGTTTTGATAAAATTGACTCCCTTCGAGGTCTCTTAAATCCCCCAAGACGGTGAAGCAGCCTTCATTGTCGAAAGCTGCTGCCTGCAGCTTGAAACCAGTGAGAGCAGATAGCGCAAGACCAGCGCGGCAGAGGCCGCGCAGCCATACATCCCTCACTAACTACAAGGTACCATGTACCTGTACCTCATTCAGATTTGTCGCTGGTACATGCTGCTGCATGATGTTTCGTGGATCACGCCATGCCATTCTACGTACAAGGATCAAACTTCCCGTTGACATGAGAACCTGACGATGGTTACCCCTAGAGTCTTAGCTCCTTTTTTCTCCAGTGTCCGGGATTGTACAGTTCCTCGGGCAGCTTGGAAAGCTGTGGCACACAGCAGCAGGAGATTCAAGGATTCTGAATTCTGATTGTTGAGCAGCAGGAGAAATGATTCACTGTTCTGAGTTTACAAGAATATCAAAGGTAGTTCGGTTGACAGTGGCACGAAGTGCTTCTCTACGTGCCTAAAGTTTGAACTATATACAGCACTGCTCCCTCCGGCACACCTTTGGGTCTAGTACATGGTGAAAGCTTGCAACCCCTAACATGAGGTTAAAAACAAAGGCACAGCTCGCAAAAGAGCACTCATGCAAGGTAGGTGTTTGTGCTTAATGGTTTTGGTGAGTCTACATAATATATGCATGTGCATAATGTAGTTTCTTATAACTACAAGCATGGCTATGGCAAGTGTATATGCGGGGTGTCCTTCTGGGGATACCAGTAGTAAACGCTCTCTCTGCACGTGGTTTTCGTACAACTTAACCGTGGGGTGCGCAGCTCATCCCGAGACTGATGTCAATCTTTGAGCCACTAAAACTCTACTAAATATACCACAGCGTTTTCCCTAGCCACCATCTTCGGCCTGCTTGGACGATGCGTGGATTGTTGTGCTACCACATGTGAAATTTCCAATTGGACATGTTTGTGATTGCCAAGCCGTGTTCCTCATGAACCCTTCATGGCATGTTTAGAGTCGCGCCATCCTGCCTTGATTCTTGCTCCAACATTAGACATCTGACTTAGGAAGTATGACCTGACAATAAGTGACACATGAGACACTCGTGAGAACACAAGCGTATAATAGGAAACTGCCATCCACCGAGGATCTGGCAGCAGCATGACTCGCAGACTCGCAGCATTGCTGCTTTCATTGCTGACAGATGTTGAAAGTCGTGCCACGTGAACACCACAGAAGACCTACCAAGACTGGGGATTAGCAAAGCATGCTGCGGCTGCATGTCGCGGTAGCCTCCTTGTTTCTGGAGTCTCTGGCCTATAGTAAAGAAGAGTTCACGGACTGGGAATGCGAACGGACAGAATCCAAGTTCTTCATGTGGCCTTCACTGCGCGAGCTGGCTGTTACAGAAGCAAGCCAGATGCTGCGGCCATTGCGCTCGTCCCCGCTTCTGTCGTCCACGTCAGCCGAGTTTGGGCAAATGTCAAGCTTATGGCAGGCCATCTTCAATGAATGTCCTCTGGGGACGATTTTTCTTGCTGCGATGGAGCTCGGCAACTGCTTGGCGGATCACAGTCGGCGCATAGAACCCTGTGAGGATGTTGGAAGTTTCATGATGGATACCATGTTCGGGAGAGGTATTCCTATCGCTGTGTTGCTGACAGCTTCCTGGCCACTGAACCATGCTTTGCATATGCCTTTCTTGTACGCGCACACGCCCGAGGACAAGATAAGCAAGTGGTATTCCATCCAGAACGACCCTGCACTTAACTGTGAAGGCGATGGCATTTGGCCGAAAATACAGAAACAGCTCGACTCAGGCATTGGAGATGGCCTACCACTGCTTGAGCACCTTCGAAGCTTGATCTTCTCACCGGAAGTTCAGAACCTCGAAGCGCATCAACTGAGTTTTCCCGGCGATTTTGTGCCGGGTTGTGCATTTGGTTGGCTGGCGGTGCTACTTGTCAAGGCTGGCATAAGTTGGCACACGGAGACCTTCTCATACTTCTCCTATGAATTCCTACTGAAGCCCTACTTGGCTGAGTTGAAGTTTTGGGAGTTTTTGGGGTCAGGCTGGTTCTTGAGCATGCTCTTCTGTCGCTGAGTTGCAGATGGGGGTGTTGCACAACTTGTGGCTACTTGCATCGGGTGGATGGAAAGGGTGAGTACATTATGAAGCTGTAAGGTCGCATTTGCATGTACCACCGGACCAACAACGAGATGGGCTTCCTGGGTCGCGAGCCTTGGGTGTGGCTCTCGAACATTCTTCGTTTGCGAGTCCAAAAAATGCCAGGACTTTCCAGCAATCGGCCAATTCGGCCAATTCTCAAATTGCAGCATATTTGCAGCCTTATTGCAAGCTTAAGGAGCTCCTTCAAGATGCTGGCTCCCTGGGCTCCCTTACCACCTTGCGACTCGAGGGCTCGCCGATCCTTGATGGTCAACTGAGTCGAGGGGATCTTGTTTTGTTTTTTGGCCACCCCATCCCCCCGCGCCCGCCGCCGCCCCCCCGGCAATCCCCCCGCACCAGACTTCTTGGTTTCTTGTTGGAGAAAGGTCTTTAATGTCAGGAGCTCTAAGGAGTGAACCGTAAAGAAGAGATCACATAGCCGCATAGTTGTTACGACAGCAGCTACTATCTACGGTCGGGTGGGTGTGCCGTTCCCACTCCGCCATAGAGGCGGCAGCAGCCGCCGCAGCAAGTTGCAGCAGCCAAGGGGTTGTGAAGGCTTTGTCTTTCAGCACTCTCCTGGACAACACTGGACAACCAAGGATTTTCCGTGCAACGGCCGCTGCTGTGCTAGGTGAGGGTGTCAGAGCCTATGTCGTCAAAGGCGAGACACGGCTCCTGACATATGCCGTCTACGTCTGGGGCAAGGACTGGCATGGACTATAGACTATAGCTCAAATTTCGGGTGCGTTTTGCAGATGCACTTTTTCTTAATTGTCGCATTCTTTTCGTAGCAGCTGGACACTGATACGAGTGTCGGCATGCTGCTCCGATGTCAGCACCGGGCCACAACCCTTTGAAAAGCAACCATGGCGCAGGCGCCAGATTGCACGAAAGGCCAACCCAATAAAGCGCAAACTCCGCGCAACTCTCCTACTTTACTTGGTGTTTGTAGGAAAGCGTGGCAGTGGCGGCGCGACCGTTCTCGACTCTTCCAGACTTGGGTCTCGTTGTATCACCTGCTGCGACTTGATTTGTGGCTGCTCTCCTGTGCTGCAATCTTGTCAAGTGGCTCGTTCGTATGCAAAAGGCGCGTACAGAACGTAATGAACAAGTCATTGGACGACGAAGACGTCATCGGACAATGCCCAGCCACGCGCTGTTTCAACCATGTCTTCCTTGTCGCTGTGTCGTGTTCGACGCCAGCTTTGGCTGGGTATGGCTCGGTGATGCCCTGCATTCGGCAGCGCAACAGCAATACGTAGTAGTAGCCACATCGACAAGAAGGTCGGCAGATAACAGTTGAGCCCTGGACCGAAGCAATAAACACGCAGGAGACAATTTTCTGGAAATTCGGTTTCGTGATATGGGATAGTACACACTGCGAAAGGCTGCATCAAGCCTTCACATGCAAAGCACACTCGCATCTGACGTCAGGAAGGACCGAGCCTGCCCTCAAGTAGACAAGTCTGTCGAGTTGTTGTAAGCTACAGACGCAAATTCGGCTGGTGTCTTGTTCCGTTGCTGTTGCTATTGAGAGGACTTCACCAAGTGGCTCCCTGCCTACATCACGCGCTTTCACAGCCTGGGGGTGCACAATCTCATGGTCTTCGGGGACGAGGGTGCCTACGAAGCTTGCTCCACTGTCAGCGGCTCCGTTTGCCTCCACCTACCCACAAAAAATTCTCTGCACCGTTACACGATCCCCCTGGCACTGATGAATCTGGGTGTTGATGCCTTTGTCATCGACTTCGACATCTACCCTTTCAGGGACCCTACCCCCATCCTCATCTCCGAGCTGGAAAGTTACGACGATGCACCGGAGCTTCTGCTCTCCGGCTCCTATGGCGACGCCTGCATTTGTAACTCTGCAGTCCAGAGTAGGCAGTCAACCCTGGGTCTCTAACAAGGCTCTCGCCCCCAGCCGAGCCCATGTCGAAGCCGACATGGGATTACTTACTGTATGGGTGCAGGGTGTCGGTGTAGGGTTGTTCTTTTTGGGCAGAAAAGGGGCGGGAGATGGGACGGGGGGCTGTAGGGTTTGGGGCCTGGAGGTCGACGACGACCACCACCATGACAAACAACCAAGCACCGACCACCGAAGACGACGGCCGCGACGACCGCGACGAGGACGCGGGCGAGGGCGAGGGCGACGACAACCACGACGACGACGACGACGTCGACGACGACGACGACGACCGCCACGACCGCCACGACGACGACCACGACCACGAACAAGACCACGACGACCACGAAGAAGACCACGACCACGACGACCAAGACCACGACGATCACGACCACGACGGCGGCGGTGACGACGATGACCACGACCACCACGACGACCACAACCA